CTGGAACTTATGCACTGATTAAAAAATGTCTGGCCTTAGAAAGCCTGTACAAACATGTCAGCTATTACTATTCTACTCAAGATTGATCTCTTAGAGTACAGAGTGAATATCTTATCTTGATTTTAGGACCACTTTTTACTTGTGATCTAGATGACCGTGGCTGTCAATGTTGTGGTTGCTGTTTTGATTCAGTCCATACATGGTTTTAGTTACTTTGTTGAACACACCCTTCCGTTAAGAAAGCTGGGAAATGAAAAGTTTGGTTTCTGATTTCTCATTGTTACTCATGCCTTTCCTTATATTCTCAGAAGGAAAATGAATTTATTAAATTACTTATTGGGCATAGATGAAAGGACATATCAATGGCTAATCCCTGGAGCAAGTTGCACTTTGCAGGCATCTTTTATTTCCCTTGGTTTATTATCTTATTAACAATTAGTAGTGACTGCTGGCCTAAGAGGAAGCTTTCTATCTGTATTGCTGGATTTTCTCAGAAGTTAGAGATAAGACAATTGACAGAGTTGACTCAGGGAAAAATATTAGGAATGACAAGAAACCACCTGTTATTTGAGAATAAAATATAGTCATAAAAACTTTAATCAATGCCTAGCATTCACCAACTTTACTTTTTTCTAATTTTTGTTTAATTTTAAAACATTATGAAGCTTATTTGAAAATATGTCTATGCTGAAATGCTTAACTACTTATCTCTAGAGTTAATATTCTTAAGTCAAGAGTAATTTCTGGGCATTAGTGACTGTGGCTTTTAATCTTAGCTATTCAAAAGGCTGAGATCTGAGGATTGAGATTCAAAGCCAGCCTGGGCAGAAAAGTTCGTAAGACATTTGTCTCCAGTTAAACACTAAGAAACCAGAAGTAGAGATATGGCTCAAGTAGTAAAGCAACAAACCCAGTCAAAGTGCTCTGTAACAGCACCTAGGCTCTAAGTTCAAGACCCGGGACTGGCCCAATTTTTTTTTTGTAGGTCTTGGAGCCTGAACTCTGGGCCTAGATGCTGTCCCTCAGCTCTTCAGCTCAAGTTTAGCACTCTACCACTTGAGCCATAGTGCCACTTCCAGCTTTTTTTGCTTATGTGGTGCTGAGGTATCAAACCCAGGGCCTCATGCATGCAAGGCAAGTACTCTACCACTGAGCCACCTTCCCAGTGTTATGCACAATTTTTTTAAAAAGAAAAAGAATCACACTTTTGGAAGGATGATCTCTTCTAGAAATCCAAACTGGGGAATTAAATCCTATTGACTTTTTATTCCCAATAAAGTGAAACTTCATCTTTTATTTAATGGCTGTTCATCATGACATGCAGAAGTAGGACTATAAAATCATGGTCTTTTAAAAATGAAATTAGGATCATATTATACTAAAACTCCTGTCCCCAAAGCAAAAAGTATAGTCATTTCAAGGAAGTGAAATGATAGGAAGCTATATAAGGTTGTGGCTTTGACTGTTTCTATCTGATTTTGTTCCTGATTCATGGGCTTCAACTTTGTCCAAGTAGAGCTGTGAGTATGTTGCTCAGTGGTCTTAACTTCTGCCACATCCTTTCCCTAGGCTCCTCAAGAATCTTTTACCACTCAGAAAATATAGAAAGCTACTATTTATAATATTTCATGTCATTAAATCAATGAGTATCTCTTCTCATAAGTACATATACTTTACCTTAAATAATGAGAGGCAATCTGATCAGGTCTTACTAGAAAAGCAAACACTAATCTATAAATCACATTTAATCTCTTTTAATCCTCAAGATCATTTTATAAGTTAGACAGAATTATTACCTTATTTTATTAATGGGTCAATTCCAGCTTAGAGACAGTAATTTCTTCAAGGTCCCAGGGCTACAGTTTGAGCTCTGAATTCACTATACTGATTGACAGTGTAAATGGTCAATGTGGTGGAGGTCTAAGAAAGTAAATTTTCAGGGAATTTCCCTGTAGGCTAAAACCAGGATCTGGCTAAAGACTTGAGTTCTGCCTACATAGTTACCTCAGTAAGCCACCTCTTATAAGAGATGGTAATTCTATGAATGGATTCAGGTGGTAACTTTACCCCTATTTCGTGATCTTTAACCTTTTTCCAAGAAGGGAATGTGAAAGTGAGTATACAGCCTTTGAAGGAAAAAAAAAAGAATGACAGAAGCCCAGCAAAGTAGAATTCAGAATCTTATTCTCCCTGTGTCATAGCAGACCTTCTATGCTAGTGTATCTTAATAGGTAAAGCCAGGAGAGGTAAGCAGGACATTTCATCAGCTTTGAAGAGGATTTACTGAATCCTTAACATCAGAAAATGTATGGAAAACCTTTCAGGTAATACTATTTAAGCACAGGATTTTAAAATAAAGGAAATAATAGTCTGGTCAACTTTAGAATTCATTGAAACCTAGACTCATTCATTCAGTCTGACAATAAGCATATTTTTCAGAAAGTTCAAAAAAAATGTTCCTAGAGGAAAATTAGGGTTTTGTGCATGGTGAGTCTCATTTTTTGACAAAATGTGGATTGTTCAAGGGACCTGTAGCAAGGCTTTGGATAGGACTTTAGATAATTTCCCTCCTCCGGGAGTTTCTTTCCCTCCCTTAGGAGGGAATAAGATCCAAGCCTTCCTCAACTCCACACCAGGAAGAACCTCCCCATGATGTTCTTCCTGGAACCTGTGGGCAAACCATTCCAATGAAACCTCTACCCATGTACACTTCTTAGACACTTGTTGCTAATCCTCAGCCAACCTACAGCATGGTCTGTCACAAAGGAGAACCTAGAGGGTGATTCAGTTGTGTTTTGAAACAGTAATAGAGGTCCAAAGAGGCCATTTCACAGCTGAACTCTCCATACCAGAGTCACCAGTACCACAGAGGGCACCAACCTGCCACACATTTAGGCTAGAGCTTTGGGATCATTTCTCAGGCCAGACAGGGCCTAGAAGAACAATGGCTTCAGATAGACAGATAATTATGACTCCTGTTGTTAAAATGCAGTCTGGTGCAAGATTACTGAGTTAGAGGATGTGATGCCCATAAGGTCAAAGTCACTGCTACTGCCCCAAATGTCCTTCCCCTTGATGTGCTGGCCAATTTTCAAGAACTGAACAATCCCCTAAGTGGGAAGTCAATTGTAAGCAGAGAATCTGGCATCTCAATGCTAACAGTGACTTTCCTCCCCACTTCCCTTTGCAGTTCACAGGACATTGGTCTTCCCTTATCCTCAATTCAACTGTTTCAAGTAGATACACCTGCAGTAGATCACGGTCCAAACTTATTAAATGGAAAATTACCAAAATAAATAATTCAGGTCTTAATGTTTTCACAGTTATTATTCTCTTCTATTTATAATTATTGTCAATATCTTACTTGAAAGTTAATCAGAGCTATGTATCTATAGGAGAAAACAAAGTATATAAAAGAGTTAGTATTATCTGCAGGACCAGGCACCTCCCAGGGTCTTGGAATGTGTCCTCCCTAGGTAATGGGGACAATAGTCACTATACAAAACAGAAGATTACACAGGCACACATTACAAATGCAGACTTCTACCTTCTCTTGCTGTCCTCGTCTATTTCATATGGAACTGTCCCCTGAATGATTGCTACTTTCTTTGGTCTGAGTTTGTCTCTGCCTGCAGAGGCAGTTTTTTTTTATTTGAGCTGGAAGTTCTTCCAGCAGCTTCTACTAGTTAAATCAATCGCTAAGTACCACCACCCTTCTTCTGACTTCTGAGAGAAAACCAGGACACTTTCATTCATACCTTGCCTGCCACTTGAGGAAGGGAACCCTGAAATTTGGATTTCTGTTGCTCCTTAGATATTGTTCACTAAAACATGCAAACTCTGTTCACCTTAGTAGATTCAGTTTCATACACAGCTTTTCAATAGTAAATTCTAGTGAACCCCACCAGCCTCTGTACCAGAAGAGAGATGAGAAAGAGAGGGGAAGGATGGAAAAAAGATAAAGATAAAAATTGAAGGGTTAAACTGTGAGTTTCAGGATTAAGTCTGGGGATGATGAAGATAAATATTTAAATTGAAGAATATTCTTCCAATTCAAAGGAAAAATATCACATGCACACGTAATTAATATCTGTTATTTATAATAGCTATTAAACTGATGTGGCTGTTGTGTCTCCAATAGAATTGTTTTTCTATTTTTTGGGGTCAGTTTTGGGGCCTGAACTCTGGGCTTGGGCCCTGTCTCTCAACTCTTAAGCTCAAGGCTAGCACTCTACCACTTGAGCCACAGCGCCACTTCCGGCTTTTTCTGCTTATGGTGCTGAGGAATCAAACCAAGGCCTCATGCATGCAAGGCAAGCATTCTACCACTAGGCCACCTTTCCAGCCCTAGAATTGTTTTTAAAATCAATATTCTAATTATAAAATTGTTGAAAAAATCATATAGCACATACCTCATGGTTATCATTATAACTTACTAAGTATAGTAATATTATGAGAAATGTTACCTCTCCTTTGAGGTATGTTTGAGATTGAATATTATAAAAACCTAGGCCAAATATATTCACTTTAAAGGGAGGACAACTCACCTTAAGACCTTGGTCAAAGTGTCCTTTTCTTTGGACACAGCTGACCATCTCTAACTGAATGAAGCCTTCCCAGTTTTAATTTGATTGTATTATACATGAAGTTACACATGAAGTCAATGTAGGAATTATTAACCAATCACACTTATATCTCAGAACTTAACATGGATCTAGTTTTGAACAGTTCTTAGGAATTCCTGGTGACTAATTCCAGAGGTGGTTAACTTCTCTCACTCACCAGGAATTCATCTGCCAAAGAGCCACCAGTTAAGAATAGAGCTCAGTCTTCAAGTTTGCTCCCAGTCCTATGAAAAATATCATTCTTGATTTTTATATACACATGTCCAATAGCTTCATGAAACAAACTCAATAGCTCTTATTTTGAACTCTAGAAATTCTTCTAACCCAATAATAGAAAGACTCTTGAAAGACACAGAAGCAATCTAATGGACAGAATTATTTTCTTTGGAGCAAAGGACTGTGGGACTTGTGGTGTTGCCTGCCGTGCCGGTACTCAGTTGTCCATCTGGAATGAATGGCTGAGGCCTCCTCCTCTCTGTCCCCTGCAGATTCATACTCTTCATCCACTGCATAGAACAGGGGCTTAGGCCTCAAAAACAGCCTTCTGCTTCTGCCATCATGCACTTCGCGGCTGCTGTTGCTTTGGTAGCCAAAATTATATGCCTTCCCTCCTCTGTGTAAGCTCTTCATTGGGATCATTTCTTGTGTCAGTCGTCTTTCCTGAAGGGATCCTGTTCGGGAGTGTGAACTAAACATAATGGATGGGTATCCTGGATCGCTGCCGTCATCATCATCTAGGAAAAGCATTGGAAGAAGAAGGGGGAACGAACAACATTTGAAATCAGGGTTAGGGATTTGAATACATATGGCAAACACTGAAAGGAAGCAAGCCCTTCTGAGGTTCCAGTCATTATTCTAAGAGGTTCAGGGGACATATTCTATATGCATATATACAGTGCTATACCTGCATGAAATGCTTGCACTCTGGGCATCAAAAGCCAGTCTCTGCAATGTGCATAAGGTAGTATCCACTTACAAGATCAGGTTACTTGGCCAAGGACATAACTCATAAGACATAGCAAGCTACTCTGCTGGGCACTAATGGTTCATGCCTATAATCCTAATGTCTCTGGAAGCTGATATCTGAGAATCGCAGTTCAAAAACAGCACAGGCAAGAAAGTCCATGAGACTCTTGTCTCTAATTAACCAACAAAAGCCAGAATCAGAGCTATGACTCAAGTAGTAGAACACCAACCTTGAACTTTTATATAAAAGTGAAGGGACACTTAGGCCCTGAGTTCTAACCTCAGTACAGTCAAAGAACAAAATAAAATATAAAACCGCTACTTTATCTTCTGAAAGGCCAACTGAAACTCAATACTACATGGGACTTCTATTTCTTTTTCTTTATTTTGTACTGATCATAGGGCTTAAACTCGGGCATGGGTGCTGTCCATGAGCTTTTTAGCTTGTTAGCACTCCACATTTTTGTGGGGGGAGGGCGTTGATCGTTAATTGGAGATAAAAGTCTCACAGAGTTTCCTGTCTGTTGGCTTCGAACCACCATCCTCAGATCTCAGCCTCCTGAGAAGCTATGGTGACAGCCACCAGTGCCTGGCTTGCTTTCCTCCAGTGCCCCCCTTCCCCTCTTCTTCTTCCTCTTCTTCCTCCTTGCTGGAAAGTAGAGGGTAACTTGATCCTGCCTACATGTGAATTAAGAAGTCCAGGGCAGGAGCAGCGGATGTCTCTATCAACACTCCCTCCCCAGTGTCTGTTCTACACATTCTGGATGATTGACAGCCTTGACTTCTGAACCCGGGCACTGGGGGCTAAATCAAGACAGAGCTTCTACTCAGAGCAAGGCAGAGCTCCACCACAGGAAAGTGACAACACACAGCATTCAGAGACTCAGATCTGAACAGCAGCACTTTCCCATTACTCTTCACATTTAAAAATGTTGTAAAATATATGATAAATGTAATACCTTATCCATTAAAAAAATTGATCATTTAAGCCAGGCACCAGTGGCTCAGGCTTGTAATCCTAGCTACTCAGGAGGTTGAGATCTGAGGATTGCAGTTTTAAACTAGCCTGGGCAGGAAAGACCATGAGATTCTTATCTCCAGTTAACTAGCAAAAAGCAGGAGTGGATCTATACCTCAAGCCCTGAATTCAAGCTCAGGACCAGGTCATGAGTATGAACATGCACACATGTGCTCTCTCTCTCTCTCTCTCTCTCCTCCCCCCCCCTCTCCCACACACACACATATTTTAAAGCTACAATTCAATGGAACTAAGAGCATTTATACTTGTTAAATTGCCACCACTCTCTTTCTCCAGAGCTTTTTTCATTTTTTATGTTTTTTATTGTAAAAATAGTGTACAGAGGGGTTATAGTTACATGAGCAAGGTAATGAGTACATTTCCTATCAATCATTGTTACCTCCTCTTTTGTTTTTCCTCTACCATAGACCTCAGGCTGCATGGGTTTTTAGCCATCTAAGGACTTGCAAAGGGTTAAAAGATGCAGTCTTACTAAGTACAACACAAGTGAGTTCCGAAGGCAAATAATGTTTTGGAAGATATGTTTGGGTCCTCCCAAAGCTATCATGAAGACCCCCAGACATTCAGAGCAAAGCATGTACTGAAACTGGAGAGCAAGGGAGTTGTTTTCTGAATCTCAGCCTAGATAACCAGCCACTGCCTGCAACAAGTGGAATCCTGTTCTAAAGTCTCCCCTCCAACTCCTTGGCTGTTTCCTGCCCTTCTCCTAGTGTAGAAAGACCTTAGTAGTGGGGAGAAGGTGGATCCCACTAACCAATTGTGTTGATTTGTGGTATATCAGCCTCACTACGCCAAAGGACTATCTCTGTCACCTACTGATCACTATTATAATTCCTTATTACTGGTCATGTAATTCTCATAAACTAAATCCATTTCATTACTTTTTGTACTTAAGAGGATAATCTAACCACTCTTATCTATATGACATTTAGAATCAGTTGAACACATCTAAGTGAGTACAAAATTTAAAATGAATATGAAATCTGAAAAAGCTGGAAGTGGCGCTGTGGCTCAAGTGATAGAGCACTAGCCTTGAGCTGAAGAGCTGAGGGACAGTGCCCAGCCCAGAGTTCAGGCCCCATGAAACTTACACATGATCCTGTTGAAAGAATTAGGAAATTAATAAAAATTACAAAACAATGACTAACAATTTTTATTTATAATGCAATGCAGTGTTTTTGTGTTTTGCTTTTGTGTCAGGTGTGGGAAAAATAGGAATCAGAGTAGTACAGAAAGTTATAGGAGGGTACTAATCAAAGTGGTCTGTAGTGACATAACTGAATGTTGGGGGTCTCATATGGTTTTAACTTCCTTTATTATCTTTTCCTCCTACTCATTGATTTGTGTTGGGGAGGGCAGTCTGGGGGCTTAAACTTAGTGACTAGTTCAGTCTTTGAGCTTTTTTGCTCATGATTAGTGTTCCACACTTGAGCCGCAGCTCCACTTTCAGCTTTTTTGGTGGTTAATCAGAGATAAAAGTTATACAGAACTTCTTTCCTGGGCTGGCTTCAAACCATGACCTTTAGATCTCAGCCTCCCAAGTAACTAGGATTACAGGCTGAGTCAGTGGGACCCAGTGCTCTTACTCATTGCTTTTACACGAAACGTGCTTTTAAACCGGAAGAACAATCACTTGAAAGAATAATTACATTTATTTTTAAATCCAGGTGCTGTGGCTTACACCGATACTCAGGAGCCTGAGCTCTGAGGATCAAGTTTCAAAGAAAGACCAAGAAGAAAAGTCCATGAGGATCATCTCCAGTTAACCAGCAAAAAGGCAGAAATGGAGATGTGGATCAAGTGGTACAGTGCAAGCCTTGAGTGAAAATGCCATGAAGGAATACAAAGTCCTGAGTTCAAGTCCTAATACTAGCATACATACATACTTATATACATACATACAATGTAATTCTAAAATTCTGCATGTATAGTTTTCTTGAATTTTCAATGTGATTTGAAAAAGGCTTAAGAAATTAGGAGACTCAAAATTGAGAATATGTGATATTCTATATATTATATGCCATCTTTTGACAAAAATCAAACTTATTTATACACAATTTAAAACACGGTAACTTTGCTTTTTATTAACAATAAGATGGGGGCTCGGAAGGTGGCTCAGTGGTAGAGTGCTTGCCTTGCATGCATGAGGCCCTGGGTTCAATTTCCCAGCACCATATAAGCAAAAAGAAAAAAAAGCCGGAAGTGGCACTATGGCTCAAGTGGTAGAGTGCTAGCCTTGAGCTAAAGAGCCGAGGGACAGCACCCAGGCCCAGAGTTCAGGCTCTATGACCGAACCCCCCCAAAAAAAACCCACAAAAAACACAATAAGATGTTTCAGATATTTTAAGAATCTCACCTAAGTGTTAAATGGAACAGCTTTGAATAGTAAATTTATGAAGTCATTTCAGTGAAAGTTAACTAGCTCTACCTTTTATGTATCTTTCAAATACAGATCAACAAACTATGCCCCTGGGCTCTCTTTAACCTGATGCTTCTATTTGTATGAACTGGGAGCTATGAACCATTGTTACTTTTTTAAATGGCTGAAATAATTAAAAGAAGACAATAGGTCATGTGGAATGACAGTTGTATAAAATTTGAATTTGGGGTGTCTTTTCTTCTCGTTACTATTATAAGCCCCTATATCATATTCTTGTTCTTGCCTCTTGGCTAACAATCCCCCAAATGCTTACCCTCTGCCTCTATCAGGAAGAAACAGAACAGCTATATGTCAGCTTACCTGTGGATTCCTCTACCCTCACTTCTCTCCTTGCTGGATGAGGATGGCTGTAGGGGAAGGAGAGGTAGCGAATGTTTTTGGTGCCAGCCTGTGGGTAGAAATATAAAGCAGAATGAGATGCTACAATTAGAACCTTAACATGGCAAAAAAAAGTGAAGAACGCAGACACATACCATGGCATCTTGCTTGGGTTACTGGTTTCTAGTTACTTTGATTGAAAGATAGCAGAATGCTTCAGACGTTTGTGTATATTTCCCTTCCCTCTCATGTGAACCTTTCTCAGTTACTCCCCGGTCCCTCTGAATGAGGATCAATATTAGGGTTCACTCTAGACCCAACCTCCATCCGGAAATCCCAGCACGATTGGTATGACATATCTTCCTTAAGAAGGAAGAGTTAAGGTGTATTTCAAATCACAGTAGGTGATCTGAAGACGAGGCCCATAAGTCCTGTCACAACCCTCTAAGAGGGCCAGAGGCTCTAATCCAAAAGAAATCTCAGGGCCACCATTAGGTCTGGCTCAGGACTCAACCTACGCAAGAGGGCAGTACACTGCCATTTATTTCCTAGGCAGATGCCCAGAAGACCTGGACCCAGGGAGGGGAGACGGCCTTTGTGTCCTTTCTTGCCCAATCTTGCCTTTGCAGATCTTTGGCAATAGACTGTGGCTGGTGACGGTTCACCCTGCAAAGCCCAAGGTATCAGATGATAAACATCTGTACATTGAAGAATGTTCCATGCCCACAGTATCCACATACCGGCTTTTCCCAAGGCAAGCTGTGGCCTTTCTTCATGCTCTCTCTCAAGGTGTTCTGGCGGCGGATCAGAATCTCTTTAGCCTGCTTGTCACTTGATTGGGGTTTGAGGTTGTATTTGTTGTAAGACAGGGTCTACAGAGAGAATGGATTGACAGGTAAGAAGAACGCTTGTAGTGTGGCATTCAGCCCCAGGAGGTGTTGATACAGGGTGCACCTGAGATGGCCAGCACCTTTGCTGAGCAATGTTTGGAACACAGCTGCCTCTAATGCCCACCTGAGGAAAGGCTGTGAGCTGAATCAAAGTCTCCATGGCCTCATACACACTAACGTACTTAGAGCTTGCTTGTGTCCCACCCTTCTTTCCCACACGGAGTTTTAATGTCAGGCCAGTAACTCTTAGGCATTTTGATTTGATGGATAAGAAGGATATAAAAACCACTCTGGAAATTTCCACAGGATTTCTATTTTTTAATTATACTAATGAAGTAAACAAATACATCCTCCACACCCTAAAAAAAAATCAACCAATTTCTGAAAGGAAGAAACCTTGTATCAAACCAGTAGGATAAAGCAGAGATAAAAAATATACTTTATCAAATTAAATGGATGATAAGCTTATGATTAATTTCTTCCTAGCCTTTATCATGGACCATGGGCTGACATGGATACTTTAACTAACCTGTAAGATTCTTAACTAGTGCTTCTTCCCTTGTGTCTCACCCCAGGTTCATCAGTGAATGCCAAGTTTTCTTGGGGCTAGTGGGTAACATTATGTTAAACTACATAGTCCCACTGGATAAGAGGATTGAGACTGCAGGTGTTAATTTTATTCCAATTGCAATAGAATGAATAGTCTGTGGTGTGACAAGTGACAAAGCCAAAACACATGGTTTTTTTTTTTTTTTCAAACAAGTGAATCAGAATTCTCACTCCAAAAATCTTTACAGTCTTCTGGAGGAGTCAGTGTGTAGGGACATAATATGTGCTCAGTGAGGATTAAATAGGCACTGTAGAGTAAAGGCCTTAGATGGGATGGGTGTATTTCACTGAAGTTAGTCTTGAAAGATCAGTGGATGTTATCCTGGGGATAAGTCACAGAAAGAAGCATAGGAGCAAAGAGTTGTTAACAAGCTTGAAGGGAAAGCAGAAGGAACACTGGGAAACACGCAGGAATGGTTTTGTTATCGTGAGAATGAAGTATATCACCTAAAGTGTAGTAAGAGATGGGAATGGAGGGACAAAGAACAATAGGAATGGGCCATGGACAGCCTTCCCTGGAATGGAGAGTCTACCCTTAAAAGCCAGGTGTCCTCAGATATAGAGCATTCATTCCAAGATGCTATGGTATGAGCCTAGAGGTGAGAAAAGAAAATGTTGACTCTTAAGATGTTAAGCATCATTACTATGTGGATTTGTATTTGGCTCTCAGTTGGTCTGGGATGATATGAGCAAGTTTCTGGCTGCACAAATGGTATTCATAAGAGAGATTAGGGGACAGCCAGAGCCTTGAGGGTTTCATTGGGTTTTAGCTTATTGTTTAGTGAATGTGCATCCAATCAAGTAGATTTTTATTATCCTACTGAATGCATTCTCATAAAACTAACAATTGCTTCAAAGTCGTTCTACAAAGAAGGAATAAATCAAAGAGAACATGGAGGAAGAAGCAAAGTTGCCTTTCTGATTTTCTTAATAGAAACTTTTTTTTGAGGGTCTTGGGGCTTGAACTCTAGGCCTGGGCACTATCCCTCAGCCTTTTGACTCAAAGCTAGTGCTCTACCACTTGAGCCACTGCATCACTCTGGGTTTTCTGGTGATGACTTGGAGATAAAAGTCTCCCAGACTTTCTTGAACAGGCTGGCTTGGAACTGTGATCCTCAGATCTCAGCCTCCTGAGTAGCTAGGATTATAGGCATGAGCCAGCGGCTCCTGGCTAAAGAATGACTTTTCTTTTGCCAGTCTTGGAGCTTGAACTCAGGGGCTGGGCACTGTCCCTGAGCTTCTTTCACTCAAGGCTAACACTCTACCACTTGAGCCATAGCACCACTTCTAGCTTTTTCTGTTTATGTTGTACTGAGGAATTAAACTCAGGGCTTCATACATGCTAGGCAAGCACTCTACCATTCTACCACTCTACCACATTCGCAGCCCCTAATAGGAATTCTTTATCATCCCCTTTTTTGGTTTGTGTGGAAGTACTAGCAGAACAGAATTCCCTAGACAGGTGCTCCACTGCCAATCTATACTTCCATCCTCTTTGCATCTAGTATTTTGAGATAAGGTCATTCTTTTTTGCTAAGTCTATGCCTATACCATAATCCACCTATTTTAAGTTTCCTTTTTTCCTAAGGAGATGGGCACACACCATCATGCTCAAATATTGGCTTAGGATGGGTCTTTCCTGCATACCTCTTAGCACCCCCAAGAAGCTAGGATTGTAGGCATATGCCACTGGTATATGGCTCTGTCACTTCTAACAAATTGCCATATTCTGACAATAATTTGGCAAAAAATGAATTATGAAGACAGTTTGAAACATGGATTCTTACCTACCATCTTTACAGACAGGCCTTTATACTTTTTGTATTTTGTGTACTGGAATTTTTTCTTTTTTTTGGGTCCGGTAATGGGGCTTGAACTCTGGGCCTGGGCGCTGTCCCTCAGCTCTTCAGCTCAAGGCTAATGCTCTACCACTTGAGCCACAGCGCCACTTCTGGCTTTTTTCTTTTTGCTTATGTGGTGCTGAGGAATCGAACCCAGGGCCTCAGGCATGCAAGGCAAGCGCTCTACCACCGAGCCACCTTCCCAGCCCCTATACTGGAATATCTTAAAATAATATGACACTACCATTGAAATAGTTCATAAATAGATGGGTGCTGGTGGCTCACACTTCTCATTCTAACTGCCTAGGAGCCTGAGATCTGAGAATGGAGGTTCAAAGTCTACCCAGGAAGAGAAGTCTGTGAGACCATTATTTCTAATTATCCATCAAAAAGTGGAAGTGGAGGTATGGTTGAAAGGCAGAGTGTCAATGTTGAGTAAAAAAAAAGCCAAATGAGAACAAGATGCCCTTCGTATTGGCACAAAAATTAGTATTGAGTCAGAATATATAAACAAATTTTATAATTTTTCATCATTGCTAAAGTTATATAAATCTGAATTCAGTGTGTGAGCATGCTTGTGTATGTGTATATGTGTGCAAGTGTATGTGCATTTACTGCTAGAAGCTATTTCCTATTCCTAGATTTGGAAGGAGGATATATTTTAAGTAATATTTTGATACTTTGAGTTGTAATGTGTCTCAACAAATGATTGTTGTTTGCTATTTTGAACATTAGAAGGAAGCCTAAAATTTTCTATGCATGTAATATGTATGCTTGTTTCTTCTCTCCCCTCCTCCAATTTTGGCCTCCGATGAAAGACCTGATGATTAGTTGAAGTCTGTTTTTCCCCCATCAGAACCTTGAGTTCAATGGTAGAAAATGCTTTGCATTGCATTGTGCAGTGTTCCTAAAGCCTAGTGCAGTCTTTGCTGAGGAGAACAAAAATTGAGCAAAATGAAATAAGTTGAATACATTGCTTTCTTTCTCTGGAAGTATATAGAAATTCTGGAAGCAATCTGATTATGTAACCTACTCCAGTAACTGTGTATAGTGTATGACTCTCCTTAGGCTTAGACTGAGAATGATTTGTTTTGTTGTGAGTGTAGAAGAGCACTTCTGAGACTCCATCCCAGTCTGTTCCATAGAACTTGCCCTACTGTTATCCCACTGACAATCTCCAGATATTAATCTTTCTCTACCTCTCACCCCCATGGATTCCATCTTGGACTGAGGGGAGGGGTTTCCCACAGTAATGGCTGGAAATCCAGTAGTACTGTTTGGTTTCATATTAACTGTGTCTTAGCATCTCCCAAAGTCAAACTCTGAAATACTGTTGGCTCTTCCCTGAAGTGGCTCCTGTCTCCTAAGTAAGATTCTTCCAAAGCATGGACAATTTCTTCCAAAGCATGACAAATGCCTAACTACCAGGCCTGTACCCATTGACTAGGCTTAAAGACTTCAGATGGCTATTTACACATTCTTGTATCAAGTCTTAAAAATTTTAAGCCGGGCGCCAGTGGCTCCTGCCTGTAATCCTAGCTTCTCAGGGGGCTGAGATCTGAGGATCACAGTTCAAAGCCAGCCTGGGAAGGAAAGTCCATGAGAATCTTATCTCCAATAAACCACTAGAAAACCAGAAGTGGCACTGTAGCTCAAGCGGTAAAGCACTAGCCTTGAGCTGAAGAGCTGAGGGACAATGCCTAGCCCAGAGTTCAAGCCCCACGACTGACAAAAAAAAAAAAATTGATTGTCCTCTAAGAAGAGCAGATATACAATTGTCTGAGGTTACATTTTCAAGATGGTTGTTCCTTCAAGAAAACAAAAGGACAGGACAGAAGAGAAGATTCTCATGGTCCTTAGAAAGCTGGAAACAGGAAAAAGAAGAGCCAGTGAGTAGCACTATCAAAGTGCTGACAGTAGAAGCAAAAGGCCTCTCATGGGTTTTTGTTTTTTGTTTTGTTTTTGTCGGTTGTGGGGCTTGAACTCTGGGCTTGGGCGCTGTCCCTGTGTTCTTCAGCTCAAGGCTAGCTCCCTACCACTTGAGCCATAGCACCATTTCTAGTTTTCTGGTGATTTATTGGAGATAAGAGTCTCACAGACTTTCCTGCCTTGGGCTGGCTTTGAACTGTGATCCTCAGATCTCACCCTCTTGAGTAGCTAGGATTATAGGTGTGAGCCACCAGTGCCCAGCTGCCTCTCATGTTTTATAACTTGAGTTCTATCCATTATCCACCTTCTCTTCATTTGACACCCCAGGGTGCTAAGTAGATAAATACATGAGGTTAGCAAATTCAAATTTGGGGACAACACAGAAGGGAAGTAATGGATAGCTTAGAAAGGAAAATTCTGGAGGCTGGATAGAGGAGGAAATTCACCAAGGAAGGAGGGATTATCTGGGAATCCAAATTAGGGAAGGAGAAAGAATATGGGTGATGGACCATTTCAAACAGGATTAGAGTTTCAAGATCTCTGCCTCCTTTTCAGACCCTTTCCCTTCATTCATCAAACTGGTGGAAAAGATGACTATAGGGAACCTTGTGGTCCCTGACCCTATTAAACTGTCTACATTCTTGAAACCAGGAAGTGCTGATCTATTTACTGAGGGCTGAATGTGATCCACTGACTGAAACAGTTTCACTTGGAATGATTTGAAAGCTGTGGAATTTACTCTACATATCATTGAACCTGACCTACATTCCTTCAGCTAGTCTTGAGTCTTTCTCTGACTCTGACCCCTTAGTCATTGAACTTTCTGGAAAAGGACACCACTGAACGCTTACTTACTTTCACTGGATTATGTAAGTCTGGAGTTACGGAAAGAATGTTGCCTAGATGGGCACATCTGTGTTTTGGCCTGGGATTTATTGTGTGACCTTGAACAAGTTGAAACATCAGCTACACTAATCCCAGTATCTGCTACTTAAAAATGAAGAGTTTGATTAGTGTTTTAATCATTAATCACCATTAAAATGATGATCATAGTCACAATGAACATCTTATTAGAATGAATCCCAAGGATTAGGATTCACAACTGAGTCCTCAAAACTTGGAAAACGTATACACAAATGGCATTTAACTGCTCTTTGGTCAAAGTTTCTGAAGGTTGTACCCACTGTCCCCTAAGATATCTAATCTCTCTGTCTCTCTCTCTCTCTGTCTCTGTCTGTCTGTCTCTTTCTCTCTGTCTCTCTCTCCATCTCTCTCTGTCTCTCTCTTTCTCTTTCTCTCTCTCTCTCACTGTCTCTTTCTCTCTCTCTTTCTTTTTCTAGCAGTCCTGGGACTTAAACTCTGGGCTTGGGTGCTATCCCTGAGCTCTTCAGCTAATGCAAGTTCTCTACCACTTGAGTAACAGCACCACTTCCAGTTTTCAGGTAGTGAATTGGAGATAAGAGTCTCACGGATTTTCCTGCCCAGGCTAGCTTTGAACTGTGACCCTCAGATCTCAGCCTCCTGAGTAGCTAAGATTACAGGCATGAACCACTGGATCCCAGCTATCTTTCTCTCTTATTCTGGCTTTCTTGATTGTAAAATCAGTATGAACTCAACTTTCGTCTTTTATTCCATTCATTAAATTGCACACCATTGAGGCAACTCAGAGGTCATTAGTGTCTTTGTGCCATCTTTTATTCTGAGCTGTGTTCCTGACCCTCAGGTTCTGGAAAGAGCCAAGCCCCAGGATTGGGGCAGCCTGACCCCTACAGACAGCAACTGGATTTGCATCTCCCCTTATGCCGCAGGTGCCAGGTTTTGAGGAGAAACCTAACAATTGCCTTTCTGTTCTCTAAAACCAAGCAGAGAGAACTGGTTCAACAGAAAGCTGCTTTAGTGAGGACAATGTGAACAGGAACAGATTCCTGAAAGAACTGGTTCCAAGAACAGGTGCAGGGGCAAGGTGGAGAGCCCACACATACCCTTTGTCGAACTTGGTACATGTTGTGTGTCAGAATGTCTCTCATGGACTCCACATCTTCAGGGGAAAGACGCTTGATTCTCTGTATTCTCCGGGTCCTGGAAAGATCATTGGAAGAAAGCTGAGTGTTTTTCTTTCACATTGGCCAGAGGCACCAGAAACATGAACTACTTTGGCCTTTTGTGACAAGAACCTCTTAAGTGGCAGAACTGTATTTTTACATAACCATTTCTAATATTTTAGCAAACTCATTTGAGATGTCACAACCTGAGTTTTGACTTAAATTTTCAAAAAATGTTATTCCTTTATAGTATTTTTGTGGTAACTACTCTGTCCTTTGTTTTATACAAAGGGATTCATGATAATAATGGTTACTTTTTTACTCTAAAATGTCACAAATTGGAATATTTGCAGAATATATTAAAAATCAATTACCAGAAAATTTTACCAAAAAATGAAATCCCAATATTTTACAGTTACATTAAACAGAAATAACTTACTCAAAGATTAATTCTTTATTAATTATGTGCTTGATCTCATTGTGGTCAGGTGATTAACAGACCAATACCATCAACATAACATATTTTGAGAAATGCTGTTATAAGAGATAGAGATGCTACATGAATGCTTTCATTTATGAATAACACCTGTAGGGATTTTAATTTAAGACGATTTCAAAACTGGAAATCACATTTTATAAAGAGAATTAGCAACTTAATCTATTAGAGTTGGCCCAGCTCTGAAGGACTGGTACCATGCACTCCCAGAGAAGTTTAAAACTGAGGTCAGGCTTGGGTTAGCAGTCAATGCACAATTGTCCTGAGAGGATTTTAAAGTCAGAGCATGGATATTGGAAGAATTTCCATGTGACAACTGTATTTGATTACAATCTAATGGCAGTACATTTTTTTTGTCAGTACTAGTATCTAAACTCAGTGCCTCCAACTTGCTTGGCTTACTTGCTCAACGAGTGTTCTACCATTTGAGCCATGCCTTCATCCCAGCTTTTGCTAATTATTTTGAACATAAAATCTTACAAGCTTTTCTGCCAAGGCTGGCTTCAAGCCATGATCTTCTAGATCTCAGACTCCTGAGCTATGAGTACTCAACTAATATATTGAAAACATTTTTATTACACTAGAAGTATATGTTCATTGTAGAACATGAGAACAAAAAGAGAAAGCAATTCTCACCCTAGTGATAACTCATTCTATCAGATTGGATGAATTCCTTTGTGAATAAAATTGTCTAACATTTTCACAAAAAAGCAAGAAGAACTAAGGAAAATTAAGTCTTTCTTTTAATACCTTAATATCTTGACTATCTTGAAGCATCTTGCATATGGCCTCATGGAGGGTTTTGTGTGTGTGTGTGTGTGTGTGTGTGTGTGTGTGTGTGTGTGTGTGTGTGTTCTTGCTTGTTTCCTCTAGCTGCAGTGATCTTGAGAGTTTTTATGACCTCAGCATCTGCTTAATACATGTTCTAAGAATATTGATCATATTTCAACAAGCAGTTTCAACACAGGCCACCTTCAAGTATTTTTTTCCCAAAAGGTAGTAGCAATATGGCCAGAAATCTTTGAAAGTAATGAACAACTGATAATATATGTTTAAAGAGTTGGATACTGGATATCATAGTATGCTATGATTTTATTTAGAAATGCTATCTGTAGATTGTTCGTCATACAAACTCAATGAAATCAGAGTTTCTCTATCTTACAGCTGCAAATGTCACCTGTATGGGTACTCAGTTACCTTCCTTGGTGATATAAACATTATTATCAGAGCATTTCAACCTAACTATATAAATGTCCTCCAAATAAAATTTATTCTGATTTAGGTGCTGTCACACGCTGTCACAATCTGAACACATTCTTTTGTTATGGAAGGTGTAATGTACTGCTAAACAGAAACACCAGCTAGTCAAACAGTTCCATTTTCTGTGTTCATAGTAAAACAAATTTAAAAAACCCACTGATAAAGAGAACCGCAGAGTGAAACTTGATATAGCAGTGGATCAAACTTGGCACTAATTCCAGCTTATAATTGACCACTTGGGGAAAGCCCAGACTAATTAAGTCTATGCAGGCTGCTGACTAGAATGAGTAATAGGGTGTCTCAAAGGCATCCCCTCATCCCGATCGACGTGATGGTACAATTACACAGAGACATGGTGAACTCGAGGGAGTCCATACATGGAGCTTTCTTCATGTCACTCATCCCGACATCCTCTGAATGCTTACATCACCAGCATGGGAAAACACAGTCCAAAGAAAACTAAATGGGTGATGATGTTAAGATCAAACGATGCGAACAATAATCTTAAGCGCTAGTCCCTGGAGCATTTATGTATTACCCACAAAGGAAATATTAGTCACCTTATAAAAAGTTCTATGGTTCTTTCATGGTAACTAAAATTAAACTAGGAAAATATGAATTCAAATGTATTTGAATACAAGTCCATACTTCTATAACTTCCTCTTTTCCTCCTTCATTATTCCTTCCTTCCTTCTTTCCTCCCTCTCTCCTTCTTCTTTCTTCTTTCTTTCTCTCTCTCTTTCTTTCTTTCTCTCTTTCTCTTTTTTCCCTCTTTCTTTCTTTCTTTCTTTCTTTCTTTCTTTCTTTCTTTCTTTCTTTCTTTCTTTCTTTCGTTCTTTCTTTGAGGTACTATACAAATTTGGGAAGCTCTATAGCCAGGTACCAGTGGCTTATGGCTGTAATCTTAGCTCTCAGGAGGCTGAGATCTGAGGATCACAGTTTAAAGCCAGCCCAGGCAGGAAGGAGGCTCTAATCTCACATGAGTTGTGGCTCAAGTAGTAGAGTACTAGCCTTGAAAACAAAAAAACTCATGCACAGCACTCAGACACTGAGTTCAAGCCCAGTGACTGACAAAAATAAATCTTAATTCAATATTATATTCATGCATAGTATAATTGCCAAAGATCAAATCATGTAACCTGAGTCACTTAGAAGACTGCATGTTGGCATAGCTTAGATATGAAGACTGTGGATAGACTATGTGTAGATGACTGGAAATCTGGTAGCCCTCATCCGCAATGTTGCCCACTAGATACTCTGTGCACATATCTGCTTTGTGTCCTTTATAGAGGCCACCAGGATGACCTTAAGTGAGTGCCATGGCTGAGCAAATGCACAACATTCAACATCAGAAGATATATGTTAAAGTCAGCCTTGTAAGAACACAGAAATTTGAACTTACACCTATTGATTTATACATGATCAAGTAAAGAACTTAAAATTTTTCAATAAAATTACTTATACTTAAAAATAAATTATATAGTAAAGGACTTTCAAAACATAATACATTGAGGATACATAAATTATAGTTTGTTATGCCTTTATATTTATAAATACTTTAATATATCTATACTATTAGCCAACATAATTTTTCAGATTGACTATTTTCAATTGTTTTAAGTTCCTGTCTTCTAATACTTTGTTGTATTTATTTTATTTTATTTTGTGTGACAGTACTGGGACTTGAACTCAGATCCTGGGCATTGTACTTAGCATTTTTGCTCAAGCTGTCACTCTACCACTTGAAAAACACCTCTACTTCCAACTTTTGTGATGGCTAACTGGAGATATAAGTCTCATAGCCTTTTCTGCTATTCTGGCTTCTAACCACAATTCTCAGATGTCAGCCTCCTGGGTAGCTAGGATTACAGGCATGAACCACCTGCACCTAATACTTTCAACTAGTTTACCATTGTAGATGAGATGAGATGAGCTGATTTATATTTTAAAAAATAATATATATGTGTACTACATGTTCCAGAGGGTGAGACTGAATTGAAAATAACTTTAATTTATTTAAAATAATTGAAAATAATAATTATAAATAGTATGCTTTAAAGTAACAGAGGTCCACAGGATCAACATAGTCCAACCCATGCCACAGACAACCTTGACAGTAGCTTTCTCTTGAAGGTCAAAGAATTTGGAAATCTAAACCTTTGGTAGAACAATTGCTTAAACTTCTAAAGAAAAGAAATATCTGTGCATTTTACTGTTATCATCCCATGCAGAATAATAAAAAGCGAGCTGAGTACACACTTCATTTTCCTATTATTGTATGAAAGTTTGTTTTTTTTTCAGAATTTAGTCACTTTGATCTCAGAAGAGGAATTCCTTTCTCTTGACGTTACTGCAAGGTTTCTGATGAGATCAAATAAAAGAAATTTAAATATAATAAAGTTGTATTAAACATAAACTTTAAAATATCTCACCCAGTTAACTACCTAGATTGAGGCATAGGAAGTGCATAAAGTAAAATAAGAAAATATCTTATCCTTAATATCTTGAATCAAGCTCTGAAGCAATAATTAACTTGAAGGGAAAGGGAGGGAATCTTGGTTAGAAATTGAAGGAGTTGCTTATGGCCAATGCAATATAATACAAAGATTTCATACCATGGTTTAGCATGATCCTCATTTGAGATAAGCACCTTTGCATTCCTAGACCAAGTGCTCACATAACTAGAGAGCAAACCCAATCAGGAAGTTCTTGAGCTGTCCAGCTCTCCAAGACCACTGCATTAACTCTTCATCATCCAGTGAGCAGGTCACAGACCAGATGACCACAGAGGACACACCTCTCACACAGTTGCACAGCTTCCTATTTGTTAGGCTTTACATCATTCACCCCCTTCCTTTATTTTTCACCAATGTCCTGACCCTGCTGGAGTATGGTGTCATCTAGTGATCAGGACTGGAGCTAAAGTGCAAAGTTATAGGGGGAAATAAAAAGGTTCAATCATTAAGCACAACTTTGACTATTTGAATACAGTATTTTAGAATGGAAAAATACAAAAAGATCTTTGATGAATAAAATAGCAACACTCTGAATGAAAACAAGATTAACATTCCTGATTTTTTCCTGTTGCCCCTGGCTCCACTTATGGCTCAGGGTAGCTTGCCAATAAATATTTGTTAGCAACTTTCCCATTTTAGTACCAGAAGTTCCCTTAAAGCCATGTGATGAGCTGCACAACACAAACAAACAAGCCACAGAAACAGGCTCACTGAGAAATAAGGCAGAAAGTGGCATTTTATAAAACTGAGATAACCTTGGAGACACAAGTTTAGATTTCTTCCCAAAGCCCTATAAGAAAGCAATGATGTTTCTGATTCATCAACAGGTAAGGGAGGAAAGTGTAATCTGAAATATAACACCCAGCAGTTTGTGATGATTTTATTGCTGCCTATTCTTAGCTCTGCTCTCAACTTGCTTTTCTAATGTGAGGACATCATTGAAGCTTGTGATCAAGAATCATTACTTGCTGAAGATGACAGCATGGAAGGGTGTTGGTGTTCCTTTCCCTAAATATATGTTCTGATTAATTTCTCCAATTTATAAACCATTCCTTGGAAGGCTATGGGACATTTAGAGGAGTGAATTGATTCTTGTAATGTTGAAACAAGTTTTTAAGGAAATAATAACAACTCTAAGAAAATAATCTGGCCAGTTTTGAGGACAACTGATTAGCAGATAGTTGAAGAGACGGGACATAGTTTAAAGAAAATGTCATGTAATGATGGAGTTCTATGCATGTCTTTCCATGCATCCTGTTTCCACCTCAACCCCCTCTTCTCACCAGGAAGTCAGTTAAATCTCTACTCCTAAGCTGGCCTCAGGTAGACTCAAGGCAAATCTCACAATCTTAGATGGACTTTGCCCCTATATACAACTACAAATTCATTTTTAATCTTTAAACAACTCACCAGCTACCACACCTCTTACTACCAACACTTATCCCTTACTATGACTATGATGAGCATCACTCAAAGGCTCATGTGTCATAGCTTCATACCCAGGGTGGCAGTGTTGGGAGGGCCTGTGGACCTTTAAGGGGTGGGGCCACTTGAGAGAATTTTAGATCACAGGTATAACTTAAGGAAATTGTGGAGCCCCAGTTTCTTTATTTCTCTTTCCGATTTCTAGCTTAAGGTGTGAACATTGGCTCCAACATGGATTCCTGATATCATATGCAACCATCACCAGAGGCCCAAACAACTGGAACCACCTGATCTTAGACTTGAATCTCCCTGACTGCAAGCCAAGATAAACCGTTCTACTTTATAAATATTCTGTGTCAGGCATTTTGTTACCATGATACATGGTTGACGGATACATCCCCAAATCCAAGTTGGCATCTCAGAAATCAAACTTGTCAATATAAGAGAGGAAGAAAATTACTTATGGGAAAAATATTCTGAGTTAAATGAACAAGGTGAGAGGGTGGAGATATCTCTTCAAGAGAATAAAGAAAATCTTATAAAATATGCCTCCACTAAGCTCATGCCTGTAATCCTAGCTACTCAGGAGGCTTAGAATCATGATTCAAGTCTGTGAAGCCAAGTCTATGAGACTCTTATCTCAATTAATCATCAAAAACAAAGTCGGAAGCGGAAGTGTAGCTCAAGTGGTAGAAACCCAGGGATAGCACCCAGACCCTGAATTCAAGCATGTGCTTGAACACAAATGCTTCCATTCTGTAAATCCACACTCTCACTTAAAGGAAGATGTTATATACTGCAAGAAGGCAAGTTTTGCCAAAAAAAATGTCCTATGAAACTGGATAAAACATTCTAATCAAATCACAAAAGGCCAGCATTTGGTTTTTAGTTGTTTTTTTTCTTTATGATTCCTTCCTCGTTGTTATGGTTTGGATAAGTGTCAAATTCCTATCCATTCCAAGCTAGAATTTCTATTGGGAAATCATGGAACCTTTCAAGAGATGGTGCCTCACAGAGGGGAACCCTGTCAATTCACTAGAGATGGACTGTTGGGGGGCATATTGGGACCCCAGACCCTACTTCTTCTTTTTTGGGGGGGGTTCCGGTCATGGGGCCTGAACTCTGGGCCTGGGCACTGTCCCTCAGCTCTTCAGCTCAAGGCTAGCACTCTACCACTTGAGCCACAGTGCCACTTCTGCCTTTTTTCTTTTTGCTTATGTATTGCTGAGGAATTGAACCCAGGGCCTCATGCATGCAAGGCAAGCGCTCTACCACTGAGCCACCTTCCCAGCCCCAAAGACCCTACTTCTTCTATGTGAACAGTTTTGTCATGGATTGCTGCTAAAATGTGCCATCCCTCTACCAGTCCAAATGCAATTTGATCAACCAATTGTGACTGAAGCCTCCAAAACTCTTAGCTGAAATAAATCTTTTCTCTTCCTAAAGCTATCATTTTGGGTATTAGTTGTAGTAATAGGATGCTGATTAAAATACTCTATTTTTCTCTCCTCCCTGGTCCAACCCTTAAATGGAACCATGGTTAGTTCTCCCTGGAATTCTGACATTGAAAGTCAAGACCAAGAGCCGATAGGACTTACTGATGGGGAATGGAAAAAGCTGTTGAAGTTAGTATCCCAGTTTCTACCATCTCAATAGCTTGCTTCATTTCCAGCTTCTTATACAGAGAAACAATGCTTGATTTGGGCTGGTTCTTTCGAATTAGGATTTTCCGTAGATACCTATGATCAAATTTCTTAAACCTAAAATTGAAAACAACATTTTGGAAATCTTTAATCTCTTTATATCATGTAAACATATTTTTTTCCCTTAAAAACAAGCTACGAGTGAAGAGTGAACTTTACTCTGAAAAACATCAACATTGTAGTGGCCTGGAATTCTTAGCATTTGAATAGTCTCCAAAAAATGTATAGTACTTACACATTTATTTTAAAAAAGAAAGAAATAATGGCCTGCTTGCCTGAATACATTGAAAAATGAGTAACAGAAAAAAGGGACAAATTGCAATTAGGACCAAAAGTGTGCCTCAGTGTGAAGCAAGGGAGACTGAGGCTTGCTCAGAGCCAATTGTAAGAGAAGAAATGAAGGGGGCTTTTGAACAAGTGTTCCATTCTAATAGCTCATAACAACAGTGGTTGTACTTACAGTAATGTTGCCTATTCAAGCAGAACCCAGTAAGTTTAAATAGTCTGGTAGTTACAGTAGTTTTACTCCATTATGTTCAGATCACTTTGAATCTTGCCAATTAAGGAGGGAAAGAAAGCCCACATACATCCCCAAAGTCTGAATGATGGAAACTCTGAATAGGCTAGACACTGAAGGCCACTGACTATTGTAGCAAACTTCTGGTGAGCCCCTTAGTCTGAGCTGTGTGCATGCATGTGTCACCTGTTCACAGTTGGACATTGGTTTGGAGTTGGAATTTTCAACATTTCTAATCATGTCGTATGGAAAGAGTAGTTTGTTTCCTGCATTATTTCCTGGAAAGAAACATGGCTTGCTGGGCTGTTGGTATTCTTATCTGGTATTTGGCTTCTTGGAATATTAGGTGAACAGATTCTGTCTATTATGTCTTCTACAAGTGTGGCAGGCAGACCTCCTGACCTCCGTGATCTGTTGGGCTCAGATCATACCTAATACTTTTTTCAATTAGTAACCCCCCCTTGGCCCTGGTGTTCCTCAGTCCACTATGATCATCTCCCTCTTCTTCATAATATGTTAAACATTCTTCCTGCTGAGCATACTTTACCTTGTGCTGTTCAAACCCAATGTCTGTCATTATCTGACCCCATACTCAATCTGTTATCCCTAAGTGCCTTCCACCTCTCCTCACTCCTGCTTCCCCCCTAGCCTTCCTGACCCCCTTCTCTTGTCTTCTCTGCCCTCCCTCTGCCTAATCTACATGATTCAAAGCTTCTCAGAGTTCTGTATTTAGTCAGCATCTTCTCTTCAGATCCCTGTCATAATCTCACACATGCTCATGACAGTTGCTACCAACCACTTAGTAATGACCTGTCCTTTGTCACTAGATACATCTATCTCCATGAGTCTAAGTCCAAGAAAAAAAACATATCAGTTTAGAAATCTGAGATGTGGCAAAGAAGAGGGATTTGGATGATTTAAAAAATGGTATCAGGGTTTGAACTCAGAGCTTTGTACCTAGTAGGCAGGCACTCTACCACCTGAATCACTCCTTCAGGTCGTTTTTACATTATTTATTTTATAGGCAGGATCTTACTTTATGTGCAGTCTGAGTTGTGATCATCTTACTGTGTTTTCCTTTGTCTTTGGGGATGACATATATGAGCCACTCTGCCCAGCCATTGTAGATCCTCTGTAGCTGGGATAACAGGCATGCCCCACAGCTCACAGCTATTGGTTGATAGAAGTCTTGTGGAGTTTATGCCCAGATTATCCTCAATCCCCTGATCTTTGCCTCCCCAGAAGTTAGGATTACAGGATTCATCCCCTGAACTAGGTGGATTTGAGGATTTTTGAAGAATACTTATATGAGAAGACCCTTACATCTTTCAAGGGTGTCCTCCACAGTAACGGAATTCCCACCTTAGCAATTCTTCATGAGTTACTGAACTCCCTTTGCAATCTCACAGAGCTATTCATCCCATGTTGGTCTGCTTTTATGATGGAGAAACTAGTCCTGGTTTTAAACTTAAGTATGACTCTTCTATTTCTCTTCTATCCATCTTACTACTTTTCTCCAATGCAACTTTAACCATGACTCTAGCCTTCTCTGCCTGACAACTCTTGTTTTTCAGGTTAGGCATGTCTAAGACTAACTGCTTACTATATGGCATGGTTTAGGGGGCATTTTTTTCCTGGCCTCCTTGGAAAGTTCACTCTGCCACAAATATCCCTCAAAGGGGTAGTCATGAATCCCTGGTCCCCTTACTTGTCTCTCACTTGGTAGTGGCTCCATTGCCCACACACATCTTCAATTCCAGCCTTCAAATGATCCATCAACTGCCAAAATAAACATAAACAAATGGTTCCTGGTAAAATGCAAGCTCTAAAAATACAGAAGAAAAGTTAATATACTTTGGAAGCTAAAAAAGTCTTTCATTTACTTAAGCATATCTTCATTTCTATCTAGTCACATAACTAAAATATTGTATGCTTTTTAGAGTAATTCAACCTAGTTTCATTATTGATTCTTTAGATAATCCTCTTGATAGATCATGTAGGGTGTAGTGAAGGCAGGGTATCTCGAATTGCTTTGAACAATACTTTTCTAGAATGGTCAAGAAAATTTCTCATTACAGATATTGTTGAATAGAAAGTCTAATCATTAACTGTTAATTTTAATTTCAGTTCCCAAACATACATGCCAGCAATCCAGTTTTTACAGCTTCTTAAAATATAGTTCTGCAGATATTTTATTATAATAACATACAATAAGAAATTTTATTCTATTGCCAAAATTATTTGGTCTTGGTACTTAGAATTCAAAATTCAAGCCAATTATACTACAAATTTTATTCAAAATTGTTTCTAATATATAGGTTATATTAATATAGTATAATTATAATGTTAAACATAAGATTTCACATACTCTTAAAATAATTACAAATTATACTATAAACAACTTATATGAGAAATAATTGAAGTTTATATTGGCTTATAAAATTTTTTGCAACTAGATTAAGACACAAAATTATTCTTTAAGTACTTAATTCATCGACTGTCTTCTACTTCTGGTGTAACTTTTTAAGGAAAAGTTAAAGATAAAACATAATGGAGTGAAAAATTGAAGATGAACAGATTTTTCAAAATAATACAATTTTCAGAATAATTAACCTGAAGAGATATAGGCAATGATAGAGACAAAAGTCTACAACCAAATTGTTATATCTTTCAAAACAACTTATTCCTCATTCTAATCTGTTAAACATTTTCAAGTGACATTATATTAGAAAGGTGGCTTAGATCTTTTGGAATTTGAATTATTTTTTTACTCAGAATATTAGGGCTGAGTTAGGAAAATTCCATCAATTTCTTCAAGATTAGAATTATGAACCCCTAGGGACAGAAGAAACCTAAAAATTACCTGGTTCAGTTACCCCCTTAGAACTTGAATGGCAAAAATGCCAAGTGTTTGAGTCATTATTTGCATGCATTCATTTCATCTTTGGGTGTGCCAATCAAGAAATAATGGAGAGAAAACATATGTTCTCTCTCTTTCTCTCTCTCTCTCTCTCTCTCTTAAAAATTAATTCCTGGAAGCCATACAGATTGTCAATATTGTGTTCAAATCAGAAAAACAAGTAGAACCCATGCTCAATTTCATATTCAACTTTAGTTTTTCTTTTTGTTGTTGTTGTCTATATCAAAAACTGTCAGTAGGCCAGATCTGTAGAAGTAATAACAGCTGTACACATTCTCTGTTAGAAACTCAGAAAGAAGCCAGGCACTAGTGGTTCACATCTGTAGTACTAGTTACTCAAGAAACTGAAGATCACAGTTTGAAGACAGTCCAGGTAGGAAAGACAATGACAATCATATCTCCAATTAACTACCAAAAGAAGCCAGAAGTAGAGCCCAAGTGGTAGAATATTAGCCTTGAGCACAAAAGCTCAAAAACAGTGCCCAGACCCTGAGTTTAAGTCCCAGGACTGGCACAAGACAAAAAAAGTTTGGAAAGAGCAAAGGACACCATATTCCCATAGAAAAATAATTTTAGAAGCTTGGAAAGTGATTACTGTGACTTATTCTGAGCTATTCAGTCTAACTACAAATTTCCCCATTATTCAAACAATAATCTAGAATATATGCGAATAGATGGAAATATATAACTATAGATCTAAATGAGTAGAGTCCATAATCATTATCTAAAATAAGTGAGCTTATCTGTATAAATGAGTGGCCCTTATTTGGTCACTTGAAAGTCTTTTCAGATCAGAGCCATGGTTTTGAGGGAAGCTTGTTTTAGCATACACCAGACAGGTCTAGTCCACCCTCCTTGCTAGTTTGTCCTAAAGATTTTAGACTTGCCAGCTTGCTTCCACAGGAGTCTAAAATCCCTCACACAAAGCTCTTCATATATTTTCTATTGATTCTGCTTCCCTATTGAACCATTAGTGAAACACCACTATGTTGAAGTGAAAAGAGTCAGGGAAGGACAGGATGAAATAAGACTGTTGGACCTCAATATTTTTAAAGCAAGAAAATGGCTGACATCTAAGATATTGGGATATAGTGAATATATTCTGCATATGTTACAGATATGAATCTCTGAGGAATAGAGGGAAAGACATGAAAGGCAGAATAAAGACTTCCCAAATATACTCACATTGAAATTTGAAGACCTGTAAACATACTGTGAGTATATGCCAACCAATGTGAAGGTAACCAATGTACTTACAGTTGTTAATCAGCTAATTTTAAGAAAGAGAAAATATCCAGACTTACCTACGTGGACCCAAGTGCAATCACAAAGGCCATTTGATGTAGAAGAAGAAGGCAGAAGAGCCTTTGTCATAGTGATACAGTGTTAGGGAGACCTGATCTATTATCATTTGCTTTGAGATGAAAAGGGACATAGGCTAAAGAATACAAAGACTGTAGAAGCTGGAAAGTGCGAAAGAAAGTGCGAAAGAAAGAAAGAAGGAAGGAAAGAAAGGAAGAAAGAAAGAAAGAATAGATACTTCCCTAAAGCCTCCAGGTAGGAATGCAGCCCTGCAAAATCTTGATTGAGTCTGGCACTGGTGGCTCATGCCTGTAATCATAGCTACTCAGGAGGCTGAGATCTGAGGATCGAGGTTCAAAGCCAGCCTGGGCAGGAAAGTCCATGAAGCTCTTATCTCCAATAAACCACCAGAAAACCGGAAGTGGTGCTATAGCTCAAGTGGTAGAGTGCTAGCCTTAAGCTGAAGAGCTGAGGGACAGTGCCCAGGCCAGAGTTCAAGCCCCACCACCACCAACAACAAAAAAAAAACCTTGACAGATATCCATTTCAAACAGCTACTTTAAGAATATGAGATTATGGGAAGTAGTGCTGTAGCTCAAGTGGTAGAGCACTAGCCTTGAGCTGAAGAGCTGAGGGACAGCGCTTAGACCCAGAGTTCAAGCCCCATGACTGACAAAAACAAACAAAAAAAAACAAAAACAAAAAAAGAATATGAGATTATGTATCTGTGCTGTTTGAAGCCACAAATCATATGTTCATTCCCTCCATCAGCAATATAAGACTAGTTCAGTAACTTAGTAGAGTCAAGGAATACCTATTTACCAGTCTTGTGACGTATACACAAGTTTTTTCAAGGTTCTGGAAGGTAACCAGAAACATGAATTCATTAATTATGATAAAGATCTTACCCGGATATGAAGTTCCTCATTGATGGATTCTTTTTTATTGGTCTTTCTGACATCCAGGTACCTGACCAGAGGGCCAATTGTGATTCCCTAGGCCATGAATGACAACAACAACAATAGTGATACTGAGGACAGTATAACACTATGGGGAGAGTATCTAATATCAAACCCATTAGACCATCCAATTTGTATGTCTTTGTTGCTACTGGCATAGTAACTTCTACTCCAAAATACTTCAATATTTACCTTAGTAATTATTGTTAATGCTACAATGATATATAGATCATGGTATATATAGTATATTTATATATTATATGTATATTTATGTATAATATATTTGTGTATCATCATATCTTATATATCATTAATATGTAATATATTCATGTATTATGATATATACATATATACCATGTTTTATATGTTCTATATATTAATAGAGAAACTTCTTTTCATCCATTAAAATAATCTTTTATTAGTTCACTAACAACTTACTCAAGCTAAAACAAAAAAAAAACTGCTATCAAGTACCAAATAGCATCTTGTTTTCAAAGACAGACAGTAGCAATTACCTATCACCCAGAAATACTTTGATAAATATGCATTAGGAAAGATAACAACTTAGAAGTTAAACATTGACCATGAATATGACATACAAATATCTGAGAATTTTGTTTAAATATTCAACACAGTTCTAAAAACCAGATCAATAGATTCTATTTCCCTAATTTAATCCATCTTCCTGAAAGAACCTACTTATTTTTAATATGAAACAAATCTACCAACCTGAAAAAACACAGTAAAGTAGATAACTACTAAAGTGGCAGTGACAAACAGTTTCTTCCTAGGGAAAAGAGGCAGAGGAAGCAAAAATGCAAGAGAAAAACTCCCAGCTCCTCGCACACCACTGTAGAAAATTATGAACTGGTCCTTCATGGAGAAGGGGAATGTCCGAAACTGGTTACTGACATAGAAGAGAGCAAATACACCTAGAAAGGGGAAATATGGATTAGAGCTGGGGCAATAGATAGAGATTTTGTGCTAGTGAACCCCAGTCAAGAACACCTGCCCTCCAGACTAGACCATCTGATTCCTTCACACACCCAAGTTGACTCATCCCAGTAGGAAGTCTTTCTAGGCTCTTCATTTTGGCTGGTTGTGAGACAATAGTGTCTCAATTTGGAAGTCATCTCTAGTAGTCTCCCAGAACATGCTTGTGTGTGTGTGTGTGTGTGCGTTTAAAGTTATAAAATCTTTACTTTTTACAAAGATGTATATTTATTATCTATATTCATGAAAACCACTTAAAGTGAGAATGTTTAGGGGGTATAAACATTCATATCCCTCAGCTACAGGATTATGGAATTAGGATTGGATAGTCACTTAAGTCAATGAAGTTGAAGAGTACATTGATTCCCTCCTAGACAATTTATTTTCTTGTTGGCTGGGATGAAGGTCTTTAATGTTACTTCTCTCTCTCTCTCTCTCTCTCTCTCTCTCTCTCTCTCTGTGTGTGTGTGTGTGTGTGTGCACGTGCACGTATCTCTGTGCTGTCTCTGAGCTTTTTTGCTTAAGGCTAGCACTCTACCACTTGAACTACAGCTTCACTTCTGCCTTTATGGGTGTTTAATTAGAAATAAGAGCCTGTCAGACTTTCTTGCCTGAGCTGGTTTTGTATTACAATCCTCAGATCTCGACCTTGTGAGTGGGTAGGACTTCAAGTATGAACTACCATGCCTGACTGTTACTTATTTTTTATATATTAACCCTATTTTCCCACAGGTATACAGAATTATATAATCGAAAAAATTGTCTAAGTCTATTAGTTTTGGGTTGAGAAAGATGTGTGTGTGTGTGTGTGTGTGTGTGTGTGTGTGTGTGTGTGCGGTCATGGGGCTTGAACTTTGGGCCTGGGTGTGCTGTCCCTCAGCTCTTCAGTTCAAGGCTAGTGCTCTACCATTTGAGCCACAGTGACACTACCAGTTTTCTGGTGGTTTATTGAAGAGTCTCACAGACTTTCCTGCCTGGGCTGGCTTGAGTAGCTAGGATTACAGGAGTGAGCCACCAGTACCTGGCTTGAGAAAGATTTTGAATGATAAATTTTTGTCCAGGTTCACATAGCTAGCTGTCAGTAAGCATTGCCAGGATTTGATTTGATATTTTAAATTTATACCAGTATCCTTAATTTTCTTTCCACAAGAGATAGATAGTTATGTTCATGAGTATTTAGTTGTTTTATATTCTATTTTTTCTACCTTAAAAGCCATTCCAAATTAATTTGGAGTTGATAGAGTCCACATGAGTTCTCAGTCACTTCTAACTTCTTTTTGAGTAACCAGTTTAAAATTATTGGTCAAAGTCATTTAAAAACATTATGCCAGAGGTTCATTCCAGGAATCTTAGCTACTCAGAGGCTGAGTCCAGGGGATCAAGGTTTGAAGTCAGCCTGGGCAGAAAAGTCCTCAAGATTCTAGCTCCAAAATAACCAGCAAATGTTGGGCTAGAGGTATGACCCAAGTGAGAGTTCCAGCCAAGCAAGCAAACTGAACAAGTCAGTATGCTGAACAAGTAAGAGGCCTGATTTCAAACTCCATTATGGAAATAATAATATTAAAGAAGCTTAACAAGAATAAATAATAGCTACCCATCAAAAGACAATATGTGCATTGTACTTCAATGCTTTTCTAGCTACTGAAACATAAATGTACAGGATAAAACAACAGCCTCATTTAAAAAAATTAAGCATGGATCTCACTTAAACATTAAGCATATTTTCCAAGACTGAGGATTACATTTGCTTTTACCAACTAATATGATTATTAAGAGCAAAATATTTTAAAGATAATGATTCAATGCTTGGTCCTTTGTTTGATATATATATATATATATGTATATATACATACATATATATATATATACACACACACACACACACATCATGCATTTAGCCCTAAACCAGCTATGCTATTTAAGGAAATATATTCCAGCATGTGTGAGATCTCACTTGTCTCTAATAAAAGTGTAAGTGCCCATGGTTTATAGTCTAAATCTGATTTAAGGTGTAAGAGGCTACAAATTGGCAAGGCAGTGAAGAGCTAGGGATATGTTTACTGAGTTATATTTAGATGTGTAGATGTGAAAGTTCTCTCCTCAATTAAAGTAGTCAATACTCCTGTCCCAGCCCACATCAGACTAGCCAGCCACTGATCACTTTGAGTTACCTGAGGATACAAATGGAGAACTGTTCCATTTTCTGATCACTACCTAGTACTAGAATTCCCTTATCTGTTAAACAATTTAGCATGAATCCCTCCTGAAGTTTTTCTGTTGCCCTAGTGAATAAGCTACTGAAAAGAAGCCAAGCAAGTGAAGAGTCTTAGGGGCACTGTGGCTCTTACTGATAGCTCTCCATATCTGGCAGAAGACCAATGTGAAGCAGATGAAGGCCCAGTTCCACTCATGGTTCTTCCCAATGGTGGACACACCCATGAAGATGAAGATCAAGGTCTCACTGACACTGCTCAACATCTTCATGAAGTACTTGATGGTCGTGTAGGATGTTTGGGATACATTCTCTTCTACATACTTTTTCATTGTCACTGCACAGGCTGTGATCCTACAAAAGTAGTAGAGTATAAGTCTTCCCCAACGGCAGTGCCACAAATATATGATGAACAACTTTGTACGGTATCCGTGTCTCCTCCAGACTCCTTCTCTGACTTTGGTTTCCCATAGATTGTCTTTCTCTTTTTTTTATCCCCTAAGATCTCTACAAAGGAAAGTGAGTGTGGTAGGAAAAGAGGGTGTGGTATTCCTGTCACAAAATGAAACAAAACAAAAGCCAACCTGGACAAGAAGCATAAAGCTATCTACCTTTCCTCCTTTATAGAGAGCTTCCTCAGCCCCAAACCTCGCTCTCTGCTTCACTCTGCCTTAAGCTAAATGAAACCCACTTCAGTTGGATACAAAAAATAATCCAGGCCGTTGCTTTCTCCAACCAAATAGTACTTCTTACAACAAGCTTATGACATTTAAAAAAAATCTTCAAGCAAATATGGGATCAAAGAAAAACTTTGTCTGATCTTAATAGTTTGGGTCTTTTTAAGGTTGGAAATAATAGATATTTATACTCCAAATGATTATATTTTAGTTGACATAAATAATCCTATACAATAAAATTAAACATTTGGCTCAGATAGCTAGAAATAAGGAAAGTGTCATAAAGAAACAATATAATCAGATATGATCAGCTAAACTGAGAAGCTTTGTTCTAAAAAAATAAAATCTCAACCATGCAAGGATAAAATCTAAATGAATACTTTATTTAGAGCAGAGAAACTTAGATTTATGGTCTTATGCCATCCACCTAGCTTTACTCTACATTGAAGACTCATGGACTGCATCTTCTCCCTTCTACTTGAAAATTAATTTTTTCCCCACAAATGTATTAAGATAGGTTCTGACCTTGATCTTCTCCTAGCTTCTCTGAACCAGCTTTTCTGAGCAGTCTAAATTGACAGTATAATTGCTATGCATTTCTCCAGCACATCACCCAAAAACAGCCAGCCCAAGTGTTGGAGAGAACATTTGTTTGGCAATAGGCCTGAATCAGATTTCACAAAAATTAAAAAGAAAAAAAATCCTGAATCCTGCCAAGCCTCTGGTGATCAGCATCAGAAACCAGGCCCTTTCTAGAATCCTAGTTCACCTGATGTGCCCTACATTGTCCTTATCTTACTGTGTGTCTTGATTCTTGTACTCACGCCAGGATGCCAGAGAGATAGAGCGTTTCAGCTGCTAAGTAAGACAGATAGCTGAACATGAAGACGATGAGTGGTTCGATTGCAGAGATGTTCTGAGTAAAACGGGTGATAAATGCAGAAATAAATCCAAAAATGATGCCAAAAAAAACTCCCCCACACCCCACGATGATGAATCGAGCACATCCAGCCAAAATGTCGACAGGTTCAATGTCTTCAAATTTATGCATCTTTGTGAAGGCGATTAAGATATTGTATAAGACCTATATAGGCACAGAAAAAGAAGGAAATAAACTTAGAAATTTAAAATATTTTTCACACTCATTCTCAACTTTGGATCTGGTTAAATTTTACACAATTATAAATTACATGACAAAAATTTTACACAATTATAAATTACATGACAAATATCCATGTGGTAACTGAACTTTTCAATGCATGCCAAATTGTTTAGATATATTCAGATTCACTGAATAAAAAGAATAGTCAAAGCCTCCCAAAACTGAGCACATGATAAATGTTTAAGATAGAAACACAAATAACTCTGCTTTGATTATTACTATTGTACATGTGTTCTGCATTGCCTTTGTACCTCATACATATTAGTGAAAATATTAACGATATAAATATGCTAGTATCTTTGCATAGCTCCCTGTATCAGCTCACTGATTGCCTTGACAGTTACAATGCACCCTTTCTTGTGTGCTGTATAATAAATATTGCACTTCCTTCAAGTATTTTTTTCCTTTAAAGTGAATGCTGTGTTATGTTCTCTTAAGTAGAATGGACAGAAGGAACACTGAAATAGAAAGTGATTTATTGGATTTTTCTAGGTCAGCCATGTGGGATGTGAGGATTCTGGTAGTAGACTGCACCAAAGCCACAGACCCTTGAGAACAATTCCTTTGCAAACTTACAGCTTTGACTTGGTAATCATCTGCCCACTGATATGTAGCATGTCTGTGGCTTTGGGGTACATCTCAGTAGTGTTTTCTCTGCAAGCCATCATCTCCTCCCCTGCATGAATATCTCTCCTCTGAAGACCCTCTGCCTCTCTGGAGCCCAGGATCCCACTGAACCAGGAATTGCTGATGTCCAGCCCCACCTGCCTTCCAGAGGGTAGTCTTTCATTTGTCCAGTAACTCCAGACCAGCTCTCAGCTGGCTAACCTGGCCCCTTTCTCTACCAACCAGAGGTGATCACCTTCCTCAGTGGTATCTGTACCAATATAAGCCTATTTCTTTAAGGCCCTAAGAATCACAGAAATATCTCTATGTCTATTAATTGCTACCTTGTTATAGTGAATAAATTTTATATTGTTTTTTTCTCTCTAAATTATGATGTTGTTTTCCTTTCTGAATTAAACAACCTTGTTATAATCTCCACGTATGGACAGTCCCATAGGTGTGGATGTAGCTTAGTAGTAGTAGAGCAACTTGACCCTCAGTTCAATGTAATTTAATTCAAATTTTTAAAAGTCTATGTATTGTATTGTTATCTCATACCCTGTGCATGTGCATTTATGCTTTGGCTTTACCAAAATTAAAGATGATGTGGAAGATATCAACACTTTGTAGAGGCCATACTTTCGTTTTTAATCCAAATCTTTTCCTGGGATAGTGATGTGCAAATCTTACAGTTCTGATCAGTGGTAGTGCCTAGGAGTCCATGTAACATGAGGAAAAGCAGGTGACACCCCAGTGCCCTGTGGTATTGGGTTAGGATGGTCCGGGGTGATGTATATTCACAGCCAATGATAGGCTTATCAGGAGGTCACACCACTGTAAGTCTAGGAACATCTCTGCATTAGCTCATTGAATGCATAACCCTAGTCCATGTAACAGACACAATTAATTTTCCTATTTCCATTTCCTATTTTCAACACTCATTTTGAAATTACAAAGATCTATCTGTCATTGTTTTATGTCACTCTGTAGCCTGAAACTCAGTTCTAACTTCTGGAAAGTAGAAGCAAACACAGATGATGAAACATGAAAAATGAAAAAGGGCCTAGGAATAGTAGCTAATGTCTATAATCCCACCTGTTTTGGAAACATAGGAATATTATATTTCTAGTCCAGGTTGGTGGTAAGAAGATAATGAGACCCTTTCTCAAAATCTGAACATAGAAGTGCCCTATGATCTAGCATTTCCACTCCTGGGAATTTATCCAAAAGATTACAAACCAGGATATAGTGAAGCCAACAGCACACCCATGTTCATTACAATACTATTCATTATAACTAAGATATAGAATCAGACTAGATGCCCTTCAATGGACAAATGAAAAAAGAAAATATGCTATATATACAATGGATTTTACTCACTCATTAGAAAGAATAATATTGTATTGTTTGTAAAAAAAAAAAAAGTGGAATGTCTTGGAGAAAATTATATTAAGTGAAGTGAGTCGGGCCGAGAGAGACAAAAGTTGCATGCTTTCTCTCATATGTGGAAGCTAGATTTAGCCTATAAACTGATAAGTAAATTAGTTGGGTGATAGGCAAGTATATACAAATGTATTAACTGAAATCTGGTAGATTCAAGGAAGAACTCAAATAGTATAATACAACAAAATTCAGAAATTAACAAAACTAAAAACCAGGAAGCAGGTACTTGAAAGGGTGAGGTCAGAACAAAAGGGATAGGAAGAATTCAGTCAAGAATTCAATTTGTATATATCCTATAATTAATTTTGTGTGAAAGAGAGGATAAGATGGAAAGAATGTTGAAAGGAGTGACACTGATCAAGATATGTTCTATTCATAAACTGCTTTGTTAAATGGCAACTCCTTGATGAAACTATTATAGATCATGAAATAAATTCATTAATAAAAAAAAGCCAAACATGGTGGTACATACCTGTGATGTTAGTTACTGAAAGCTCAGAAGATTACATACTGAGCTAGTCTAGGCATTGCTGTGACATCTTATCTGAAAAATAAACTGAAGCCAAAAGGGATGGGAGCCTGGCTCAAGTGGTAGTTCACTTACCTGGCAACTTCAAGGCCCTAAATTCAAGCCCCAGAAAACAAATAACAACAATATAACCAGATGACCAAGATACCTACAGGAAAGAAAGCCTTTTGAGAATACCAGACCCTTAAGAATTCTGAAAAACCACCACATGTATGTGTTGGCCTTTGTTTACCCAGGAAAACTAAAAACATGAGGACAGAGGGCAGAAGATACAACTGACAGAAAACAGTCAATCTGAGTGTGTTTTGAGTGTTACAAAGCTACCGGAAGACTATTGTGGACCCTCTGTGAGAGAATGGGTGGAGATCCCTCATTCCTTCACTGACTCCTGCTATAGCAGCATACCTCATCTGGCTCACAGTTCTAGAAGCTGGGAAATTCACTAGCATGGCATCTGGTGAGGGCTCCATGCTGTGTAGTAACACTACAGGAAGGGCAAGTGAGGGCATGAAACAGAGAGAGAGAGGGGAGGGGGCTCTCAAACTTACTACAACCTATTCCAGATAACTAACCCAGTCTTGTGATAATTGTGTTAGTCCACCTATGAGGTCAGATCCAGTCACTTCTTAAAGGTGATGGTATGTCTGAATATCATTAAATAATACTTAATGTTGTTAAATTTCTACATGAATTTTAAGGGGACATTCTAACCATAGCACCCAACTTCAGATTTCAGTTAATACATTTGTATATACTTGCCTACCACCCAACTTATTTACTTATAAGTTTATAGGCTAAATCTAGCTTCTACATATGAGAGAACGCATGTAACTTCTCTCTGTGTCTCTCTGTCTCTGTCTCTGTCTGTCTCTGTCTCTCTGTCTCCTGTCTCTGTCTCTGTCTCTGTCTCTCTGTGTCTCTCTGTCTCTATCTCTCTCTGTCTCTGTCTCTCTTTCTCTCTGTCTCTCTCTCTCTCCTCCTCTCTTTCTCTCTCTCCCTGTCCATCTCCCTCTTCCTCTCTCTTTCTGCCCCCTGGATTCCTCAGGCCAGAGCCTTCTTCTCTACTCTTTATTCCTATTCTTCCTATGGTAATAGGAATTACTCAGGGCCACCTCTGTTCTTCCTTGTGGCTTGATAGCTTATGAGTTCTGCTTCAGCTTCACCTACATGGCTTTCCAGAAGTGCTTGCTATTTGTGCAGTACTGACTCTCTGACCATGGTCTACAGCCTACAGACTGCCATTGCTATTTCTTCCCAGCTCTTTCCTGGTCCTGGCCCTTTATATCACGTTTTTGACAAAAGTGTTGATTTCTCACAGAGTGAGATTGACAACAATGATCTATCATCTGCGAGAGCCATGCCTAGACTGCCGTCTGAAGTACATTAAAATCACAGCTCCTTTCCATCTCATTTTTCCTTATTCTAGGGAAGTCTCATATTTGCTTGAGAGCTGTTTTCTGTACAGACAGAAGCAGAAGAAGTAGATGGTCTAATGGAGTAGGTCTCCTGCTGTAGAGGGCCCCTAGGTCACCATGCATAGTGATTGTGCAGTTTTTTGTCTATCCACATGCATCTAAAACATGAGTCCTGGCTTTATAATATGAGTTGAGAGAGAGAGAGAGGAGAGAGAGAAGAGAGGAGAGAGAAAGAGGAGCGAGAGAGAAAGGGAGAGAGAGAGGGAGGGAGAGAAATAGAACGAAAGTTATTCCTTAAGTAACTCAAGTGTCAACTGCCCTCATCTAATATACTTTACAGCTAAGGGACTCTGCTAGTAGAGAAGGGAGGACACAAATGGGTGCATGCGGCACAGGCTTTTGGGCCACAGGTACCTCTGTCTACAGCTTTGCCATCCTGACTGTTGTGTTCATTTTCTAGGGCTGGTGTAACAAAGTGCCACAAGCTCCATGGCTGCTATGATCGGAACTTCTTTCTCTCACTGTTCTGGAGACCAGAAGTCTAGAGTCAGCATGTTGTCAGGACTGCACTGCACTCTTTCTGATGGTATAAGACAGAAGTCATCTTTCCCTCTGATGGTATAAGACAGAAGTCATCTTTCCCTCTTCCTACTTTCTGGTGGTTGTTGGTCTCTAGCCATGATGGATTACAGGTCTGAAGGCTTCTTTCTCTGCCCTTTTTGATCTGGCCTAGCTTTGCTGTTAAGGTAAAGTTGACTTTATGAAAGATTTGAAAGGCGATCCTACCTCTATAATCTAATATATAATAATATATAATGTAATATATTAACATACTTGAAAGATGAGAAACAATCATCATTTCTTCCTTAAGATACATGATTTAGAATTGCTGTTATTCTTATTCAGTATCATCCTTACTATTGCCTTCC